TGTAATTTCTCAGAGATAAATGGGACTGTAACTACTTCACCTCCCTGCAAGCATGGACATTGGTTGGGCAATGATGGGGATTGTAGTCCAAAGTCTCTGGAGGGTCTCAGGTTAGGAAAGGTTGACTATTCCATAATAAACCTTTATGAGCATAAAAATGACTGCAGCATTAATGACTAAAATCTGGACAAAGCCAGGAGTGACACACATATTCAGGGTAAAACTAAAACTTGCTTTTTCCAAACAAGAACACAGCAGATGACACATAAACTGTTGCTGTTGCAGAAAATTGGATGTGTTCCTACTCTGATGCAGACTAATACTTTGGTATATTTGTCTATACCAAAAGGGTGGGAAGCTTAAGCAGGCTCAGGGTCCAAAATGTTGCCCCCCCAAGCCACAGGCTGCCCCACACCCAGAAACAGAAACAAAAATGTTTAAAAATTGAAACCAGAAATGGCCAAATGTCTACATACCATTCTCATGTGGTTTGTGGCAACCTCCCAGTGCAAAACCAGGGGGGAAAAACATTGGGTAGAAATGGGAATGGGAATATTAGGGGAATCCATGGAGGCTATAAAATGGCCTGAAGGACTCAACTTTCCCCACCTCTGGTCTCTACTGATTAGCAGTAGCTGTCTGGGGCTGCATTTACACTGCAGAAATAATCCAGTTTGACACCACTTTAACTGCCATGGCTCAATGCTATGGACTTATGGGAACTGTAGTTTGTTGTGGCACCACTGGATTATTTCTGCAGTGCAGATGGGTCCTAAGATATCAAGAGAGAAGTCTTTAGCAGCCACACCTGGAAACTATGCTAGGGATTAAACCTAAGAGACTAGATGACCTACTGAGCCCTTCCTTGAATGGCATGCAACCATAGACCATCCTTGGGCACCATGGTGCTGATCCTACCCTTCTGCCCCTGGCAGTTTCTATTTCTAAATGGGGGAAAAAACAAGTGCAGGGCAGGAGATCTGATAAATGCTAAATGCATCCTCTCGTCCCAGTTTTAATCTGTGTGGAGATGAACAGTTCTGTCCAATCTCCTTTTATTGTTAAAAGTTTAATTCTGAGATGGAATCGAATGTATTTTTAATGGGGGGTAAATTGTATTGTTTATATTGTTGTAAGGGTTTTTATGTAATTGATTTTTATGTAAGCTCCCTTGATAGCCAAGGCTAAAGGCAGGATATAATAAACAAATTTTATTATTATTATTATTATTATTAGTAGTAGTAGTAGTAGTAG